TAATTTTTCCGTCATTCCTTCCATAACAGCGGAAAACAAAGTTTCAACTAATGTATTGTATACTCCACCCTTTTCAGGTTGCTACACTAGAAAAGATTGGAAAGTTGGAGTGGCTTGATAAGAAAGGCAAGCGCAGTTTGAGAGACCTAAATATTTATTACGTTTAGCATAGGACTGCGATGGGCTAATAAAGATGATAATGCTTTGTACACACATCAAAAAAAGTTTGCGATCATAATTAGGAGCATAAGCTCCTATAATTCTTTAAATTTAACTTTATCAAGAAAAAATCTATGTTGTATGCTTTCTTTAAATAGGAATACCCTGTTTGAAATTAAAATATAAAACTATTTTTTATTATTTATTTTAAAAAATTGAGCCATTAATCATAATGTAATAGTGATAGAAATTTCATAGAAAGAAAAAGACTGTTTAATTAAACTTAAACAACAATTTATTATTAAAAGGTGTGAATTCAATATAAAATAACTCCTCCCCTGGCTCGAATACATGCGAAGATCCTCCTGGGCATGCTGAGGATCAAGTTATCCAGCATTTCCTGGGGTAACCTATCCCATTCTTCAATAGCGGCTTCCCTGAGCTCTGGAACTGTCTGGGGACGTGGCTCACGGTTCCATACTGCTCGTTTAAGAGCATCCCACGCGTGCTCTATTGGGTTTAAGTCGGGCGAGCCGGCAGGCCAGTCTAATCGTGTGATATCGTATTCTTGAAGAGCAGCATTGACTCGTTGAGCTCGATGTGCGGGCGCATTATCATCGACCAGTACAAATTGGTGCCCATGGTTTACTCGGAATGGTCTGACGATATCATCAATAGCAACTGCTTTGTACATGTCTGCTGTCATGAAGCCCCGATACGGGATCAAAGGCGTTCTAGCTCCAATCATAATGCCACCCCAAAAGGACACCGATTTTCCGCCTTGCTGAACTGTTCCAGTGGCAGTTCTTTGTCTTTCACGGTCGCCTGGTCTTCTCCAGACACGGACACGTCGGTTATCTGGATGAGTGCTGATTCGGGATTCGTCAACGAAGAGACAGTTTTGCCAAATGTTTTCGTCCTCACCTTCTTCATTTTGCCGAAGTCTAGCCCACTGCAATCTTCGTTGTTGACGTTGCCGGGAATTGAGCGGAGCTCGCCAAGACCTCCGTGCTCGTAATCCAGCCTGGTGCAAGCAATTGCGAACGGTCTGCGTGCTAACTTCAAGCCCAGAGGCGGCCCTGACTTCTGCTTTTATTTTAGTGGCGTTGATTGTTGGATCACGGGCTGCCAGCAATCTAATATAGCGCTTTTGGGCAGCTGTCAAAACAGTTGGGCGACCGCTGCGGGGTCGGTCAGCTAAATTCCCCATTCCGTGATACCTCTGCAACGTAGCCACGACACAGGATTGGGATATAGCAAGTCTGCGTGCTATTACTCTCGTGGTGTATCCTTCTTCCCTCAAAGTTACTATTCTAGCTCGTAAAACCTCTGATAATCCTCTTGGCATTTTTTCAATCACAACTTTCCGCGAAAAATATCTTGAATCGCTTATAATTGACTAAATCAGATTTCTGAATGAGCGTAAGCTAGGACTGAAAGCCTTTTTATATGAAAAAACAATTGAACGGGGTCATTGTTTTATGTTCTAATTTATTTTTAAATAAAGAATCTAAAAAGAAGAAAAAATCATAATATAATCTACAGTAACAAAAAAGATTTCAGTTTTTCGAAGTGATCGCAAACTTTTTTTGATGTGTGTATATATATACAATATCTATTTTTTGTTGAGGTAAATTTACACAAACAAGAGAACTCCTAATGTCACGTACTTAAGTTTGTTTTTGCCTTGGCTTTTTAAGGTTGTTTTTGTAACACACCTAATTCCTGTTTCACAATTTCGTTGACAAGATTTGTTATTCACTAATTCCATAAATTGCTGTCTGCATGACGTTGCACATGATTTGGTTGTCGATTCTAATATTCTGGCAAATGTGACGAAAAACGTTGCATGAAGTCCCTACTTCATGCAACGGAAGCCCCTGTAGTTTTGAAAAAAATAAACAAATTCAGATCATGTTTTATTACGACGCGTAACATTTTAGATACACAATCATATTAGACATTCAAATAAATTAACATAGATAATTATCGAACAACTTTAACCACTATAAAAACAAACTACTTAATCATTGGTCTAGTTTTTGGTATCATTGAAATTTGAGACTTAGGGTCGTGTTCTAGAACTCTGCTCAATGCTCAAGTCAGGACTTCAGTATGATTCAAAGCACTAGAAATCATCAAGTCCTTGCCATTAGGATCGTATTTCCAGTGCTTGAAATCATACTCAAGTCTGCTCAAATTCTGACTTGAGCATTGAGTAGAGTTCTGGAATACGACCCTTAGTATTGTGACACTGTGAATTAATATTTGTCCGTTATTAATTCAAACCCCTAATACCGGACAGTACCGTTAACATCGTGATTTTCTGAAACAAAAACTTAAGTCAATAATCATTCATTAATACAGCAAACATACTGAAACATAGTATACTCAGTATTTAAAATAATATAATCTAACATTACGTATATAGTTTTAAGAAACACGGCCATTATAGACTTTCAATAAATCAACGCAAACAATAGTTGAATTTAGTGATAACAATTTAAAGATAACTTACAAAAAATTGCAACGATCACAAACGTAGAGATCTGAGCACTGCGGGATATCCGCGCAGGTTTTATGTGCCCATTCTTTACATGACCCACACTGAATCCAGTCTTCTTCGTAGTCTTCGCAACAAACAACACAGTAGTACTTCTCTAGCAGTTTTCAAACCGGTTTTATTTTTGTTTTCTTTATTTGTCATGTCTTTCGTCTTTTTAAATTTACGATTACCTTCTTCTTTTATTTTTTTTTCGTTTTATTTTTCTTCTGAACCTTTGTATGGCGAATCAGTTAAAACTTTACGTTTTTTAGCACGACTTTTCCTTGTTTGTTCTCTATAGCCGCATCTGGCAATAAAGCAAATTATATAGCATAGAACATTTTGTCAAAATAAGATTGTCTCCCTACTAGGGAACTTGTATGGGTAAAAATATACTTGTCCGGTACTAGGGAATCAGATATTGTCCGAACGTAGGGACACACCATACCTAAGTAAAATTTCGATTACAATAATGTTTATTAATATATTTGCCACAAAAGTATTTCAACGTAAAATGTACTTACGAATGATTAGTGAAAAAGCAATACACGCAATGTATTCTCTCGAAATAGTAATTTATGATATTGGAAATATTAGTCGATGCGATTGATTCCCACGTGAAATGTGTAACATGTCATCGGTAAATCGTATAGAGTGAGACTAAAGCCTCCCACGCTGCGGTGGTTTCTTTTTGTTAAGTTTAACGTCTTTCCATAAACAAGAGCGAATGATCTGTCCGGATGAATGAATGACGTGATGTGTCCGGTACTATGTACTGTCCGGCGCTAGGGGGATTCCCCCTACGTGCGGTAAGAAATTCCAGTCTCGAGTCATTGAAGCCATCAGCCTTCGGCTTCGGGCTTCTAATGGACTCTCGTTAGTAATTTAATTACCGCCCTTTATACACGTTATTATATTCCACTTAAATCTTAATATTTATGTAACGGTAATTTTTTATTTATCTGGTTTATAATATTTCTCCCTCATTCTCTCCTGAATGCTGTTACCCGCTTATGACCTTTGCTCTCACTGCGTTGGGTTGGCTGGAAGATATCTCTTTTAGAGATAAGTCCACCTTTGCTCATCTTCTGTATAAATAATATTTATTTTGTAATTGGGTCGTGCAATAAAGAATAGGTATTGTTGCGGACCGGCTAATGGACGGGACAGATATACATAATATTTTATATTATTTTCTGTTGCATACGTCAATGTATTTTTTGTCTATAGTTCGGTTAAATCGTTCGGTTCTGTTTTAGTTACATTTTCTTAAATTATCTTAAATTACTTTACTTTGAAGTTTAAAGTAGTAACTTACATTACATTTAATTCTTTTGCTGTTACTATCCTACTGCAGGGCTAAGGCTTCCATTCCCTGCCCTTCTTCCATTAATCGAATGTAATGCCTCTATGGACCAAGATCTCATATGAGCATCTGTGAAAAATGTAAATAATTTCGAATGTATAGTCATCGAGATGTGCACAGCGTTAAACAGCCCTCTTTTTTAGACTGTCATTATGAGTCATGCTGTAAATGTTTGAGTTCTAAACTGCGTGATCATTGTAAACTACTGAAGAATTATTTCATAAACAATATTTGTAGTTTTACCTCGTGGCGCTAAAATCTCCAGATTTCTAGAAAAGTTGCAGTGCATCATGCAATCATGCAATTCTAAGATCATGCAAAAAACAATTCACGCGTAAGATTGCTTGTTTATTATAACGTTTGTCTTTGGAATTTCTTAGTTGTCATTATAAAATAAGCTTTAATAATTATAATTTTTTTATAAAAAACCGACCTCAAAAGTTCGTGGAGTTATATTTATTCGCCAAATTTTATTGAAGTAGGTTACCGAAAAGTACGCGAACGCGAAACCGGATTCATCCCCTAGCTTGCCACCCTTAAGAGTTGGAATATTTTCTTCAAATTAGAATTGGACTGATATAGTGAGGTACCCTCATTCTAATAAAAAAGAATTATCAAAATCGGTTCACAAAGCCGGAGTAATCGCGTAACATATACAAAAACCTCCTTTTTTCAAGTCGGTTAAAAGTTCGAAATTCAAAGTCAATGCCAGTCAAGGTCACGATACCAGCTGTGCGTTTTAAAAAAGAATTTCTTAAGATCGCTTCGCTCGTTGCGATTTGGGAAACCTGCCATGTTGCCGCGAAGCGTATAGTATCGCCATCTGGCGAAGGCGAGAAAAATCTATTCTTCGTCTTGCATCGCGACTGGCAGAAGATTCACCTCAAATCGACACAGCGGCCTTGATCTTTTCTTATTTTGCATTCAAAAATGTTATACTTATAATAAACTAGAGAATATGTTGTATAGATTCGTCGATTAATTTATTTATTGCATTATACACTTTTTCTTTGTAATCTTATGATGTAAAAAATAAGGTTCGTTGTATTTAATGTAGCGCAGCGCCGAATCATTGCGCTGCGTACTGTTGGGCAATTTTCCGAAAAATTTCATAAAGTGAAAAATTTGCTGGAAATA